TATGTAAAATGTGGTTCAAGTGGAGGTGTTTCTACTGAAACACTATTTTCTCTTTGAAATATATAAATAAGCTGTTTACTCAGATTTCTCAGAAGATTCACAAATGCAAAAAGAGACATGTATAAGTTATGTGTGATTCTATCAAAAGATTTGGTGAATATTTAACCCAAAATATTGTGACTAAATAGAATCTCCGACAAAGCGTGTAGACCCAGCGCAAAGTTTGTTCTTCCCTGATTTAACATGCCCTGAAATCGGGATTTCATTTCACAGCTCTGATCATTAGAATAGCCGTTCCTTACGGGATTGTGTCAACCCTGACGGACATAGTGGATGGAAAGAAATAGCAGTGACATCCTCTCAGTAGAATCGCTTAGTTTTTAAACCACTAACTTCCCATTACTTCTAACAACTGGAGACCATCTTGAAACTGCCACTGATTATCCATGCAGCCAATGGCATCGCTGCCAACTAGAGCCAAATGGAAATTACATTACATGCTTCTTTATCCTCCACAAAATAAGCAGAGCAACAGAAGTATTTTCGTACGAGTATTCCCACTCATTTCAGACAACCAGAAAAACAACATTTCTTAGATCTCAATTAGGAAGGAACTTTTTCAAAAACAATCCTCCTTTCTTTAAAGGGTTATAGAAGAACAAACAAGGGCTTTTCCACATTTATAATGTGTGAGCGATAACTAAGGAGGAATGGGGAGCAGGCATGCCTTTCAGGGTTACGTCTTCCAGGTTTCCACCCTTTACAGGTGGGTGTCGGTGAATGTGGTGTGTTCTTTGGTTACTGAGCTGAAGCCCTTGATGGCCTTCATCAGGTCCTCTTCATCCACATACTGCAAAATAAGCCCAGTCGTCATTGGTAACAATAGTTGCCATCAATGGTATTTTCTGTCAATTGATAGTTCTATCAATTTAATGTAAAAAGCACTCAGTGAGTATTAGAGGCTTCACATCCCATGCTCAACTCTGTAAGGTGTGGTTTAAATTTTCCTTATTGAAAGGATCACATCACATTATAGACTAATCAAAAAATGTATGTGATGTGAGTTTTATACTGTGCCACATCTTAACCTTGCTAAGCCTCAGTTTACTCATCTTTAAAGTAGAGAGTTTACACATACAATATATTTTTTTAAGATTTAGTTCAAAAAGCAGAAGAGCCAGAATGCAAGCTATTTATGTTTTGTTGCTTCCCTTTCTTGTATTTTGTATTAAATAGGGTTAGTAACGTATGTTATAATGAACAGTAAACTTGCCAAGTATTGGCACCTTCAAAAAGTTTTATTAAATCTCTTTGCACAATGCCCATTACTAGTACTGTAAAAAGTAAGCAAAAATGACATCAAAATATAATAGTTACAAATGGGAGCTCTACAGTGCAATGATGTTTTTAAGATTCCAATCCTATGAAAAGATTACTTACTAGCTGTGTGTGCTTGGGTAAATCACTAATCCCTCTAGGCCTCGGTACCTCTTGTAAAAATGAGGATGATAATAGCACCTACCTCCTAGGAGTTTGTGAAGATTAGGTGAAATAATTCATCTAAGCCCTCAATGTATTAACTTTCTTTTAACTGATTTTTTTTTTTTTTTTTTT